TAGATCTATCTAGTCTAACAGGTAGCTTAATCCCAATGTTTCCATATTCATTTTCTGACCGGATGATCTGTCCATTGTTGAAAATGGGATATGAAGTTCCCTACTGTTACTGCATTGCTGTTTATTTCTGCCTTCACATCTGTTAATATTTGCTTTATATATTTTGCTTTTCTAATGGGTGCATAAATTTTTATAATTGTTATATCCTCTTGATGAATTGACCCATTTACCATTACATAATAACCTAGTTTGTCTCTTGTTACAGGTTTTAGCTTAAAGTCTATAATGTCTGATATAATTCTGTCTACCTCTGCTTTCTTTTGGTTTCCATTTGCATGGAATATGGTCTTCCATAATTTGACTTTCAGTCTACGTGTGTCCTTAAAACTAAAGTGTGTCCTCTTATAACCAGCATATAAAACAGTCTTTTTTATTATCTTTATCTCTTCACCCACTCTGTGTCTTTTTTTTTCACTCTATGATTTTGATTGGAGAATTTAAATCCATCTACATTTAAAGTAACTATAAATTGGTATGGATTTACAGTTGTTATTCTAGTAGTTGTTTTCTGGCTATTTTGTATTTCCTTTTTTCCTTTCTTCTCTTGCTCTTTTCCTCTGTGACTTGATCATTTTCTGTAGCTGTATGCTTAAATGCTTAGATTCCTTCTACTTTATCTTTTTGTATTTACTGTGGTTTTTTGTTTTGTGGTTACCATGAACCTTATATAAAACATGTTTATATCTATTTTTAAGCCAACAACTAACTCAAACTCATATGTAAGCTCCCTATTTTTATACCACATTCTATGTTTTTGATGTCCCAATTTATAGCTTTTTATATCGTGTATCCATTAACAAATTATTATAGTTATTTTTATACTTTTCTCTTTTAACCTTTATACATGAGTTATAAGTGATTTACCCATCGCCATTACAATATTAGAGTATTCTAAATTTAACTATAGTCACCCCCAGTGACTTTTATATTTTCATATAATTCCTATTCATATAATTCCAAAATCCATACAGTTCCTATTCCTATAATTCATATTACTTATTCATTTCCTTTCATTTCAGCTTAAAGAACTGCCTTTAATATTTTTTTATAAGACTGGGCTGGTGGTGATGAATTCCTTTAGTTTTTGCTTGTGTGAAAAACTTCATTTCTCTGCCAATTCTGGAGGACAGCTGTTTTTGGTAGAGTATTCTTGGTTGGCTATTTTTTCCTCTCTATCAAAACTTTGTTTTTTTTTTTTAAATTTTTACTTATTTATGATAGTCACAGAGAGAGAGAGAGAGAGAGAGAGAGAGAGAGAGAGGCAGAGACACAGGCAGAGGGAGAAGCAGGCTCCATGCACCGGAAGCCCGATGTGGGATTCGATCCCGGGTCTCCAGGATTGCGCCGGGCCAAAGGCAGGCGCCAAACCACTGCGCCACCCAGGGATCCCGTCTATCAAAACTTTGAATATCTCATCCTATTCACTCTGGCCTTCAAGGTTTCTGCTGAAAAATCTTCTCATTGTCTTATGGGGGTTCCTTTGTAAGTAGTAAGTTGCTTTTATCTTGCTGCTTTTTTTTTAATTTAAAGATTTTATTTATTTATTCGAGAGAGAGAGAGAGAGAGAGAGAGAGAGAGAGAGAGAGGCAGAGACACAGGCAGAGGGAGAAGCAGGCTCCATGCAGGGAGCCTGATGCAAGACTCGATCCCAGGTCTCCAGGATCACACCTGGGCTGAAGGCAACACTAAACTGCTGAGCCACCCAGGCTGCCCTCTCTTGCTGGTTTTAAGATTATTTATTTGTTTTCAACTTGTTATGGTTTAATTAAAGTGTCATCAAGGTTAGTCTCCTTTTAATTCATCTTATGTGGTATTTTGTGGCTTCCTGGATCTGAATGTCTGAATGTTTTCTAGGTTAGGGAAGTTTTTAGCCATTATTCCTTTGATCAAGCTTCCCCCCCCCTTCTTTCTCTCTTTCTCCCCCTCCTTTCTCTCTTCCCTATTTCTCCTTGCTCTCTTCTCCTTCTTCTTGCTCCTAGGATTCCTATGATATGAACAACAGTCCACTTAATGGTGTCCCATACATTCGTTAATCTGTCTTCACCCTTTTTTCTTTTCCCTTTTGCTTGGATGAATTCCACTGCCCTGTCTTCAGTGCATTGCTCTTTTCTTCTACTTGATCTAGTCTGTTGTTCAGCCACTGTATTAAAATTTTCAGGTTAGCTATTGTATTCTTCATCTCTTTAATTTGTATGTAGTACTTTTTAATGTTTTCTATTTCTTTGTTGAAATTCTCACTTTGTTCATGTATTGCTCTTATAACCTCAATAAGCATCTTTATGACTGCCATTTTAAACTCATTTAGGTAGGGATCCCTGGGTGGTGCAGTGGTTTGGCACCTGCCTTTGGCCCAGGGCATGATCCTGGAGACCCGGGATCGAATCCCACATCGGGCTCCTGGTGCATGGAGCCTGCTTCTCCCTCTGCCTGTGTCTCTGCCCCCCCCCTCTCTGTATGACTATCATAAATAAAGAAAAAAATTAAACTCATTTAGGTAAATTAATTTACAGCTATTTCATTAAGACTGGTTTCTGGACATTATCTTGTTATTTTTTAACATATTTCTGTTTCCTTTTTTTCATTTTTCTTGACTCTGCTAGTTTCTGCACATTAGATAAAATAGCCACCTCCTCCAGTCTTGACACAAACTATATCAGTCAGCCTAGCCCAAGCTCCTAGTCATCTCTCAAATCTCTGTGATTGTCCTTGACACTGTTTTTGCTCCTAGTTGTTCCCAGAAGTTGAGAGTGTACCAGGACGCATCAGTATTTCAAAGGGAATGATCATAGTCAGCACCTACATGTAGGTTTATCTGGAGCCAGACCCTCAGGCAGCAGCTAAGAAAATATACAGTCAAGTGCTTCTGTGGAGAAACTGGGAAATAGGCATTTTTGCCTGGTCTCTCTGCACTACTGCCATGAAGGGGCGCTCCTTCACCCATATAGAAACTGTTTATTTCTTATAATTCTCTATCATAAATACAAGCCTCACTGACTATCAGAGCAAAGTGATTTGGCTGCCTAAACCTTGGATGGCAGCTGTAAAAGTGGGGATACTAGCTGTGTGTACAGGCTTTTTTCAAGGTAGATACTGGCAACGTGGTTTTATTTTTGGGGTTAGCCAGAGGGAGATGATGTGGGAGGGGTCATTGTCTCTTGAGCTCTGGGAAGGATAACAGTCAGCAACTAAATGAACTAATTAGAAACCAGACCCTCATGAAAAGTATGTAGTTACTCCCCTTCCAAAGAAAGATTAGGAAATAGGCATTTTTGCCTGCTCACTCTCTACTGAGCCCTGAGGGCATAGCCATGGCAAGTATCATGGGCATACCTGTTGCTTCCTTGTCTGCTACAGGCCTGAGGGACTTGTAAATGCAAATCCAGTTGTCTATAAGAACCAGGTAATCTGGGGGCCTTTCTCTCAGGTGGCAGCAACAAAGGCTAAGCGCTAGAAGTGTGCAAGCTCCTTTCCAGAAGGATATTGGTGACCTGTTTTTATTGTCAAAGTGAACAAAAGGAAGAAGGTGGGGGAATGCCCTCTGGCTCTTTTGGGCTCCAGAGAGGGTCATAGCACCTAGATGCATGCAGTTTCAATGTGAATATTTTCTCAGTTGGCCAAATTATAGCAGTTACTTGGCTAGTTTTTAGATTTCTCTCAGAGGAAATTACTTTGTATGTAGCTCTGTGTGTACATTGGGTGTGTCCATGGGAGGAGGAGGGAAAATCTGAAGCCTCCTATGTCACCATCTTAGTCAAAAGTTATCACCGTTATGTTGAATTCAAAAATACAGTGAAGCCAGTATCCTGTTTCACAGCAATTATCAGGTACAAGGATTATTTCATGAGCAGTCAGATGGAAGAAGTGCAGAGGCCAAGACATGTGGGAAGAGGTGTGGAGTTTGCATGACCTTCCTGGGCACACTGCTCCCAGCAACTCCACATCTTCACTAACCCAGAACTCTCTGTCGTACAGTCTTGGCTCTTTTTTCCTTTTTTAATCAGGTGTTTACTGACCTGGGAGATGTTTATCTCTTAGTTCTCTGAATTTCATTTTCTGTACAACATTTTTCATTTCTGTAAAACATTTTTCACAGAATGTAAACATGATTTTTTTAAACAACCAAAAAATCCAATACTTAGAGCTAAGCAAAAGTCTTAGCTGCTCCATTTTTTTCTTTCAGGAAAAACAAAAAAGAATATAAACAATGTCATTTAAAACAAAATTCTCATTGGTGGCTATTAAACAGTTTCAGTTCACATTATATATTAATAGTTTTATAGTTAATTCTGGCAGATTAACTCATCAGAATACGATACAGAGCACTGAAGATTCATTCATCCCAATGTACTTCAAGGAGGCTTCAGAAATCTTTGCTTGGGGTCCTTTAAACTGCCTTGCAGCCTCCTTGAAGCGATACAACAAAGACAGAAATGAAGGCACCAGAGAAGAAAATTCCCATTAGTGTTGAAAAATTTTTTTGAGCATGGAAGGGTATAATTCCACGTATTGAAGAAACATTTTCAGGTCATTTATAAGTGATTCTATCTTTCCTAAATGTGTTCGTTTCTTTCGTAGCATTTGTCAAATGTATTTGAAGTTCATTCAATCCACTTGGGCTGCGTTTTGAAAGTGGCTCATAGAAATTTAAACAGACAGTACCCATTAACATTAATGGACTTCCTAAGGCAAAATTCCCTCATACTAGGCTCAATATTAACCTCAGTATGAGATTAGATTTTACTAAGTATTTAGTGAATACTCAATTGTTTAAAAATGTCTCAAATACTATTTCAATAACAGAATTCCAATTAACCATATAAAATCCAAGTGGCACAACTGCTAGATTTGAAGACTATATCCATAGTTTTGTGAAATCTCTAACCAGAATTGTTGAATATATTTTTAACAATGCATTTCTTCTGTTTCAATGGGGTTTATAGGCACAGCACTTGTTGTCCAGTGGGACCACGTACATCTCCAGGATAATTACAACCTGGGAAGCTTCACATTCCAGGCAACCCTCCTCATGGATGGACGTATCATCTTTGGATACAAAGAAGTAAGTAATGTATTAATGATTTCCTTTCCCCTTGATCTTGACCTCTGTCTTTTTCTCCAAGTGTCAAAAAGGGACATTCTACAATCATGAACCTTAAATCATTTTCTCATGTCTTGGTTTCTTTTACTTTATACAAAAAATGTTTTTAATCTACTAGGAAGCACTGATTGTTAATCCTTTAGGTTTTGTTTTGTATTCTGCTATCACTGGCATTCTGACTGATGAATTCATAAGATTATTGGACAACTATATCGTGATGGTATTATCTAAGAAATGTCCCTAAGAAAAAATATTTCCAACTTGGAAGGATTTCTCTTCTACATCTGATTATTTATATTTACTTTTTGTTTTTGCCTTGTCAATTTCCGTGACATATTTTGACTCTAATTAAAAAAGTATTAGTGTATGAGAAAACATGTGTGACAAAAAAAAAAAAAGAAAGAAAGAAAAATAAAAGAAAACGTGTGGCTCAGTGACCCAATACCTAAAGCAAATCAGGAACCACAATCCCTTTGGCCAATGTTTATTTCAATGTGATAGGCAAAATTTTTTTTAAAATATTTTATTTATTTATTCATGAGAGACACAGAGAGAGGCAGTGACATAGGCAGAAGGAGAAGCAGGCTTCCCAGAGGGAGCCTGGTGTGGGACTTGATCCCAGGTCCCCAGGATCACAGGCTGAACTAAAGGCAGATGCTCAACCACTGGGTGCCCCTTGATAGGCAAAATTAATTAGTGTTATAGGTGGCAGAAAAAGTAATGGAATTTAAACTTATGGTTTGTTTCATTTTACCAAATTCACAAAGAATGGAAATTTACTAAATTATAGCCTTAAATTTACAGAATGTCTAAATTAGAATAATAACATGTTTAGTTTAAAAACTCTATTGACAATATAATAACAGCCTATTAGACAACCTGAACTTTTGAGGAAGAAAAGAAATATAAGAATAAAATTCCAAGAATGGTAGATGTGATATTTTAGGCAGTCAATTGGTATGAAAGAAATTTTGACAATGTGCATTACTAACCCATGGGTTAATGAGTATTTATAATAAAACAGACTCAGTATCTCATTTGAAGGGTTATTTTTGGTTAGCAAATGAATCCCTGACTATTAAAAGGATGTTGACAATTTAAAATGATTCACTTTGGTCAAGTCTTTTGAAATACATCTTTTCTATATAATGAGGGATAGTTAGTTATATTTCAATTAACTATGTCAGCTTTTGGAAATCTTACAATCATTTTAAATATTTCCACTCCTTTGAAGAATTCTTCCATGTGGAATTACTCACTTACTTGGGGCAAAAATATAAATAGAATATAATATAGAATCTGGTCTGCTTGGTGCTTCTTTATCCAGAGCTATGTTTTGATATCATAGCCCATCATATTCTTATGTCACCTTACTTGGCAGCTGGGGGAATATAGTTCAAAGGGACTCATTCATTTCTAGTTTTCATAACAGTCCAGTATAATCCTGGGGCTGCAAAGTCATTATAGAATGTTAGTTTTCAGCTATTTTAACCAGCAATGGTGAAGTTTCTGGAGAGAAGTAGAGTCAGTAAGTCTAGAGTCTTAAATCTCACTAACTGTAGGCTATTTCAAAACAGAAGTTTGTGTTTTTATTGTGGTCTCTCTAGTCTTATTATCAAAGTCATCATCTTTATTTATACTGTTCTCAATGGATGTCTCACATTGCAGAATAGCAGTTCATTTTTCTTATTCCTCCTTTGTAGTGGTTTGGTATTTTAAAAAATGTCTTTATTTTAATTGAAAAGAAAGTTTCCACTATGGTTTTCCTGTCTTGTCATGGGGAATATTATGCTGATAGACAATTCTAACACTTTCTTTATATTCCCAGACTATTATCTATTGAGCATTAGTCCTTCTGAACTCAGAGTTCTAAAGAAGTCATTACTGTATTATTTTCCTTATTGTTCTTTCTCTGTTCTGGTTAGAAAGCAGTTTTTGTAATTTCATACTCTATCTTAATTTTTTCCCAATGATTGTCATGCGTTTTATTTTTCTGATGCAGATTCCTATTTGTAAAATTTGACACAATAAGAGTTCCCTGGCATTTAAGGAGAAAGCTAGATGCTTCTGAAATTTCTAGAAAAACATTTATGGTCACAATAGCATTAAAAAGTTAGTTTGCATAATGTATTATCCTTGGCAAACCGCTTTCATATACAGTATAGTTTTCAATTCTTCAGCGATATCCTATATTCTTAATATTCATAAAGGCACTGGCACATGAAGGTATTTAATAACTGTATATGGCTTAATTATGGAATTAGATCATACAAAATTATCTTTATAGCTAAGCAGACTGTGTCAGAAAGGTTAAATGACATGCTTGAGGTCATGGAGCTAGTTAAGGACAAATCGAGGACTAAAGGCTCTAATTTGGTGATTCCAAGATACCTCAACATTATTTTTTTCTTTCTTGTTAGAGTTGTGTATAACAATTCACAACCCTATTTCTCATTTTTTAGAATAAATATTGGTTAATGTTTGGTGTTTAATAATCTTTTTATCTAACTCTAATATACTACACAATTATAATCTCATAAAATTCAAAGTATTCCTGGTTAAGTTATAGAGCTAGCAAAATCATAAGGACATAATAAAGAGTGTGATTTTGTTTTCCTGCCCAGGTTAAATTTACAGAACCAATATTATAGATAGGGAACTAAGTACAATTCTTCCTGTGCCAAGTTGCTTCTAACTGGCTAATGACAGCTTTGTTTTATTTTATTTTATGTGAGTGAGAAGAAAAAAATCCGCAGTATACAGAAACTACCAATAGAGCACTTGGTTAAATTGTAGAATAAAAGTAGTAATACATTGAATAAACTTATTGACACAGATTTCATATTTACTTCCCTCAAGTGATTTATTCCAGTAGATAATTATGTTTCTTTTAGTAACTCTTAATGTGTCAAACTGCTCATCCCCTCAGATACCTTCAAGTCCATCACGTGCCTCATATAGTCAGTTCTCCAACAGCATAATTTTTTGCAGTGTAAACCAGATCAATAATGGTCAATAAACTAGAACATACATTTGCACTTATAACAATCTTGCTTGTAACAAGATTGAGATAGGAAAGTACTACTGCTGTTTAAAATAAGAATAAATACAGATTTGTTTGTGTCATTCAGTGTTCCTTCACCAAAGTCCCAGTTTTCTTCTAACCATACTGGTGAGAGGAACAGTGGAGGCACGGATTCCTCTAAATAAATAAGTTCTTTCTCCTGAGGTTGTAGCTTTGTATTCTTGAACCAAAGGTTTAAAATTCCATTTTAGCTATGGTTTCCTATTGTTACACAGCTATTTCTCTCAGTTCACTTCAAAGTTACAGTTTACTTAGGATGAAGTGAAAGCACAAAAAGCATATTTTTTTTCTTAATTTTCTGTCAGATTACCCACCGCTTGCTTTAATGTATTTTCCAATTTCACAGTATCCATTTGTGTCCTGGGCATAAGTTTATAGATTTAATTACCTGATAAAATTAACCATCTTGCCATCTATTTCCTAACTATATTAATAACCGTTCTTTTAAAGTTTATAGCTGATAAGTAATATCTAGGTTTCCTGTGGTTCTGTTTGTATCATCTGTCTTTTTCTTTTCCTCTAGATTTTCATTCATTGGTCACGTGTGTTTGCATGCCAGATAATTTTTGATCAAATGTTGGGCATTATTTACAAGTTACTAAAAAGATACTTTGAGGCTATAGTTGATATTTCCTTCCTCCAGTGAGGGTTTACTTTTTCTGTTTGGCAGGTAGGATGGAACAGGTTACTTTAATTCTGTGAGGGCTAAGCTCATTCAAAGTTGAGCATCAGTCCTTATAAAAACTGGTGTATTACTGGTTAGCATTTACTCTTAGAAAGTAGTCTTTCATGAATCTCCACCCAAGCCCAGATTTTACTATAGGGGCTGTTGCCTTAATGGCCCTGAACTCCTGTTTCACCTCAGCTCCATGAGACTGTCTGAAGTTCTGCTCAGTTTCTTAGTCTCTAAATCTTGCCTGTAAATTGCCAAATGCCTTGACAGGAAAGTGGTATTGCATTTACTTCTGTGATTTCCTTTCTCTGGAATCTTGGCTTTTCAAATCTTTGCTCTTTGATAGTGCCTGCTGCCTTCAACAGGTGCTTTCCATATGTTCTTTATCTTTCCTGCTTGATCTCAGTAGGAGAATTGGTCTTTTACAAGTTTGTCTGCCATAACCAGAAATCCCTTCACTTTTAATAACCATTTGGTACAATCTAGCATTTATTGAGCTCTTCATATATGCCATGCAGTTACCTAAGTGCTTAAAATTTATCTCATAATTCTCACCAAAAAGAAAAGAGGTAGTTGCTTTTATCATTCATAGGGAGAGAACCTGAAACACCCAGAAAGGTTCAGTAACTTTCCCAAAATTATTAAACAAAGATTTATCCAAGGGAGTATAACTCCGGTGACTATAGGTCTAATAATCACTGTACCATACTGCCTCCCTCCAAACTTCTTCTTTTTAAAGATTTTATTTATTTATTCATGAGAGACATACAGAGAAATGGAGAGACATAGGCAAAGGGAGAAGCGGGCTCTATGCAGGAAGCCTGATGTGGGATTCCCATCTCAGGACCGTGGGATCACAACTCAAGCCAAAGGCAGACTCTCAATTACTGAGGCACCCAGGTGCCCCCCAAACTTCTTTTTCAAGAAATAACTAAACTTGGAGCACCTGGATGGTACATTCAGGTATATTAAGCATCTGACTCAGTTTTGGCTCAGGTCGTGATCTCAGAATCCTGATCTCAGGGTTATGATATTGAGCCCCCTGTTGAACCCTGTGTCAGGCATAGTGCTCAGCATGGAGTCTGCTTAATTTTTTCTCTACCTCTTCCTCCTCTACCTGCCCCTCATTGTCTCTCTCTTATGCATGCTCAATGTCTCTCAAATAAATAAATAAATAAATAAATAAATAAATAAATAAATAAA